CCCCCCCCCCCATACCTCAGAAATAAAAGAGGGGTTTCTTGGGACGACTTTAATTAATGACTCTTCTCCCTCTCCCTCTCTCTTTCACACTCTCGCCTCATTACCCCCACACAGATTATATGATTACCCAAATTCCCTTTAGACCAGTAAAAAGTTGAATTTCCGGATATCAGCAGGGGAAGTTAATGTTACTTTTGTATCTCTCTGCGCCCTCTCTCCATGCAGAAGTTGTTGTCGGAGGTGTCAGTATCAGTGTCACTGGAGGACAAGGCAGTCAGCAGGTACTGGGTGTCTGTTTCTCCTCTCTGTCCCAATGGATCCACGGCGAAGGACCAGAGCTGCTCGGGGGTGCAGCCGGACCAGACGGTAAACACAAAAGCATAACTTGGTCAGCATCAAAGCACACACTTGATTAAAACTGTGCAAGAATTTAGCTAAATGTTACGAATATTAATACAGAAAATATTTGCTTTAAGTTCCTAGAAACATGTATTGGTTGTACTGGATTTATGTGATCTCTACAGTCTTACACACACGCAGACATTGAGAGTTTAAGATTTGGTAAATAATCCGAGTTGAGCGGATTAAAGGCTGTGTTTAACAGGAAAACATTTCCACGTGATTCTATGAACTATTCGTCCTAAAATCCGTTACAATGTTGAGATCCTTTATGCAATCAAATAGGACATTTATTTAGAAATAGGTCATTGGACATCCACTCCTCTCTTACCGGTTCCATTTATTCACAATAAACGTTTAATATACTGCTTTTCTACCACACTAATTGAAAAAGGCTACTTTCAAAAAAGGATTTCAACCAAATAACTCCCCTTTTGTTACTATTTTTGTTCAGTACATTTGACTGAAGAGTCTTTTTTACCCTGTTCTTTCTCTAAACTGCCAACGAGACTCCTCTTCTCCACAGGGGGCTCTTAACTTTCCTAACCACCAAGAAGCTTAATGACTGCTCTGTAAAAACTCCATTGTGCAAACAGGCTGGAGTTTAGCCCTTTAATCCATGGGTGGATTAAAGTGAATTATGGAAATTACCCACAATTACCAGAATAGAGATAAAAAAATCAAGTGAAAGGCTTTCTTGTAGATTCAAAGCTTCGGCATGCACAATTTAGTAACCACATGAACAGAGAGATTATTCACATAGTAACGTTTCACTATGTTGGATAAATAACAAGGAAGTAGTTAAGTCTTTTAATAGGTAATACGTTTCAAGGGGGAAAATACATTTGAGCCTGTTGCATTTCTCTGCATCTGTGTAGGATCTCTACAGCTGACTGGTGAGAAACAAATGATTGTTAGACAGTCCACTATTTATCTTTTTTATTGGTGTGTTGACCTTTCTGGCCTTAGGTCAATCAGTGATGCTCGTCATTAAATAAAGTATTGGGCAACAATGATCTGTTATCTTTGATTCTGGATTCAAATTAAATAAATAATTTTAATCAGTTGTCAGTTATCATTTGCATAAATGGTAATCATTCCTGTTGGTTAAATATGTAGAGACTTTAGTTTACGCTTATATTTCTTCTTGCCTCGAATAGTGCAATCGTTTTTGTGTGGGAATCTTTCTCGCCTACAGCTTGTTCAAAATGCAGCAGCAACAAAAGCCTCACTGGTACCAGGAAGATAATCCATATCTCCCCTGTACCGACCTCTGCTCCTCAAGCCTTTTAAAACTGTATAATGGTGAACGAAATTCTATCTTAAGAGTTTGGCGTTTTCGCTGTTGCCATCTTGGTTTTATGCATCGCCCTGAATGCTATCCTGTTTTATTGTATAATGTCTCGAAATGGGGCCATCATGTCTAAAATCAGAACCATTCTGTTTTAAGGAACACTAAAAAGAAGCTAATAAGACCATAAGGTCATAAGAAAAATGTCTACTGATCTGATAAACCAAGTGAGAATTGGGGTATTTTTTCAATCACAATTATTTTAGTGTCGCAAGGTGTCACTCCCTGGATAATTGAGAGAATGCAGGGTTAAAGCATTTTCACATTTGCTCCACTGACCGCCTTAGAGATTAAAATGTTTGTCTTCCTACGCAGGTCTACTTCAATATCACCATCGGCATGCACTCTTGTCCCGACAATGGGGAAGATGAAGATGTAAAAGTGGTGGTTCGACCAGTGGGTTACAACGAATCCACCGTGGTTAGGATCCACTCTAAATGCGCCTGCAGTTGTGGATCAACGAGGCGCTGCAATGACGAAAGCCAATCACCATGCAGAGAAACACAAGGGAGCACCAATCAGGAGCAGAAGCCGCAAAACGGACTAATTCAAAACTCTGACAGAGATTCAAACTGGAATTGCCGAGCGGATGGGTCAGATATGGACTGCAGTGGTCGGGGAGTGTGTGATTGTGGAAGATGTTTGTGTGATGAGACCAGGCTTGGGACAATTTATGGGAAATACTGCGAGAGAGACGAATTCTCCTGCCCGTACGAAGGGGGGTTGATATGTGGAGGTAAATAAGGAACCTCAAAAATAATTATGTTTCTACTTTAAATTCAAAGAGATATCACAAGAGCTCAAAAACATTAGTAAAGACACATCTTGGTTTGCTTCTTTAACCCTCTTGCCTCTCGTCTGTCTTTCTCAGGTCGTGGTGTGTGTGTGTCAGGTGAGTGTGTGTGTGAAGACGGCTGGACAGGTGATAGCTGTAGTTGTCCCGTCTCCACAGCAACCTGCCAATCAGCCAACGGCTTGATTTGCAGCGGCCAGGGCTCGTGTGTGTGCGGCAAGTGTGTGTGTGATGACCCGCGACAAACTGGAGACTTCTGTGAGAGATGTCCTGCCTGCCAAAGCACCTGCCAATCATACTGGTACATATTGGTGGACACAAAGCATGATGGGAGCTCTTAAAGAACAATTTGATGTTGAAGCTGACATTATTGTCCTCTCCCTCTCACTCTCTCCCTCTCTCTCTCTCTCTCTCTCAGGAAGTGTGTTGACTGCCACCTGTCTCACGGCCTCACTCATAAAGAGGCGGGACATTGCAACAGCACGTGTGAATCATTGGTGGGCTACAGGGATGATGTTCTAGGTGAAACCAGTTTAGCCAATTACATTTATAGCACATTTTTTACACATGGACTTTGTAGTTCTGTGTATCTGAACTGAATATAGTTGGGTTTTAGATGTGTCTGTTTCAAAGTCGGAGTTTCCTTATTTTCAAAAAGATCCATCCTCTCATTTGTGATTTGACTCAAAACTTAAAGAGTAACTAAACATCAGGTTGAAAAGAAATGTCACCTCCGACCACGCACAACAGTACAGCCTGTTCACACAGCAGATGGACAAAGTTAGTAGAGGGCTGGTGAATATTTAAGCCAAATATGTTTTTTAGAGCTAAAAGGAAAGAGCATATTGATCCCAGACTCAAGACCCAAAAGTCATAAACACAGCTTCAACTATAGCTATATAAGGTGGGAGAGAAATATGGAAGTGTTGTGTTTGCACCTTGTGCTGACTTGGAGTCATTAGCTCTGGCAAGGTTAAAATTCTGCATTATGCTAGTCCATCATCTAGTCAATGAGTTTCTCTGTCTGCTGTTTGGTGCTGGAGAAACAATGTACAAGTTGATATTTTTCAAATATAAAAAGCTACCTACTGCAGCGGAAAATTGCAGAAAAGGCAATCGCAGAGTTGGGAGACTATTTATTGGATATTTTAGTGCCAGTGACAGCTTTTATATTATAGTAATTTGACCATTGTTAGAGTAGTATAGAAAATATCGATTGGTGCAACTTCAAAGTGAAAACTAAAGAGCTGTAAAACGCAGAAGCTCTCTTGCAATGATTCTTCTGTTTTTAGTAATCCTGGGGGATATTTAATAGAGCTTGGGGCTTAACATGTCTGGAATGAAAAACATCTCACTTCAACTCCCTCCCTCTCTCTGTTTCAGGCCAAGCAGGGGAGAAGTGGATTCAGTGTATGTACATCAGCAATGACAGCTGTCGCTATCGCTTCCAAACAAGCTCTCAGTCCGGTCAGACGCAGCTTCACATAAGCACAAGAGCAGGTACAATGTCAACACACACACACACACATACACACACACACACACACACACACACACACACACACACACACACACACACACACACACACACACACACAC